CTCGGCAGCTCCGGGGGCTTCTGGAGGGCTCGCCGGGGAGACGGGGGGTCTTTGTCGGGGCGGAGACGCCTTTTCTGGGCTGTGCGTGGCGAGGTGGACTTTAGCACAGGCGACCCTCGTAATGGGCTTAAAGAAGCCGCGGGGCTTGGCCTGGGAGGGGGAGGTCGCCCCGGCATAAGCCAGGATTCTCCAGAGCGCTCAGTAGGGACTATCCAAGGGTCGACGTTGCTGCTGCTGCTGTTGCTGTTATTCGTAGCACTGTTCGTCAAAGTAGCCTTTATTACATTATTTTCATATCGTATATGTCTGATGAACAGTCGGAAACGTCCTGCAGGGTCGATGAGCTGAAGAGTTTGGGGACCCCTGGCATAAGCCCAAAACGATGCCCTGCAAGGCTGTGGCCCTTGGTGGCATTTCCCTGGCTCTGCAGCTGTAGGAAAGCCCCGTTTGTGAGTGGTCATCTGGGACCCTGAGAGAGGAAGGTTGTGGTTTCTGGACGGTAAAGGTGAGCTTTAAACCTGGGATTCCCTCTTTTCCGGCCTGCTGCTTTTGATGGGAGAGAGAGCAGGTCAAAGTGGGCTCTAAGGGATGGCCTGTTAAGGATGTGTGCATTTTTAAAGGGCTTCATGGACGCAGTTGTCCTGCTGTTACCTAAATAACACAGGAATAAGAACAGGATTGATCTGGAGTCCAGAGGTACAAAGGAAGTGGTTAGACTCTGAATGGCTGGACGAAGGCCGCCTGTTCATCTGCACGGTGGAGAGAACCTTTGAAATGGCTTTCCTGTGCCCTTTCTCAGCTTTTAGCGTGAAGCTGAGCGCTCTTTCTAGGACTTGTGGAAGAGGCCATTTGAATTGGGGGGGTTGAGCTGTGTCGAGAGGGAGCCGTTTCATTCTGATTAATCGGTCTTTTTTCCCAGAGGTTCGTTTGTGGGAGTTCTTAAGTGAGAAGTGTAAGATTCCATTGCAGTATGTTAAACAAGTCCTCATAGTGCTGAGATGAGCAAAAGGTTGAGCAAAGAAGCGGCAAAGAAGTGGCTTGGAGAGCAAGAAGTGGCAACAGAATGCCAGCGTGCCCCTTTGCTGGAACAGAATCTTAGAGATGGTCGATGCTTTGAAGCCACTGAATCTGTTTAAAAAGCTGAATTGCTCTTACCCTTAGACAGGTTTTCCTAATACTCAGTTGGAATCTGCCTCCCTCTAACTTGAGATTATAGTCCATACTGTGCCTTCTGGGATAATGGAGAATGAGACCAACATCTTTTCATGCATTTGGAGCAGCGTTTCTCAACCTCAGCCACTTGAAGATGTGTGGACTTCAACTCCCAGTATTCCCCAGCCAGCCATGCTGG